AGGATCCCTGATTCCTAAATGGCATCCCTTTTAGGATCCGGTGCGAAATAGCCAAGATATTCGCCAAAAACTGAGGAAAAACCGAATTCGCACTTTTCCAAGGGGAACCCCTAGGATTTTTGGTAAAAATCGGGCCAAAATTTTTTTTGGAGGATTTTAGGAATTCTTGGATGCAGATCGACGGCGAAAGGATCCCTGATTCCTAAATGGCATCCCTTTTTAGGATCCTCTGCGAAATAGCCAAGATATTCGCCAAAAACTGAGGAAAAACCGAATTCGCACTTTTCCAAAGGGAACCCCTAGGATTTTTGGAAAAAATCGGGCCAAAATTTTTTTTGGAGGATTTTAGGAATTCTTGGATGCAGATCGACGGCGAAAGGATCCCTGATTCCTAAATGGCATCCCTTTTTACGATCCTCTGCGAAATAGCCAAGATATTCGCCAAAAACTGAGGAAAAACCGAATTCGCACTTTTCCAAGGGGAACCCCTAGGACTTTTGGAAAAATCGGGGCAAAATTTTTTTGGAGGGTTTTAGGAATTCTTGGATGCAGATCGACGGCGAAAGGATCCCTGATTCCTAAATGGCATCCCTTTTTAGGATCCTCTGCAAAATTGCCAAGATATTCGCCAAAAACTGAGGAAAAACCGAATTCGCATTTTTCCAAGGGGAACCCCTTGGGGCAAAAATCGGGCCAAAATTTTTTTTGGAGGATTTTAGGAATCCTTGGATGCAGATCGACGGCGAAAGGATCCCTGATTCCTAAATGGCATCCCTTTTTAGGATCCTCTGCGAAATAGCCAAGATATTCGCCAAAAACTGAGGAAAAACCGAATTCGCATTTTTCCAAGGGGAACCCCTTGGATTTTTGGCAAAAATCGGGCCAAAATTTTTTTTGGAGGATTTTAGGAATTCTTGGATGCAGATCGACGGCGAAAGGATCCCTGATTCCTAAATGGCATCCCTTTTTAGGATCCTCTGCGAAATAGCCAAGATATTCGCCAAAAACTGAGGAAAAACCGAATTCGCATTTTTCCAAGGGGAACCCCTTGGATTTTTGGCAAAAATCGGGCCAAAATTTTTTTTTGGAGGATTTTAGGAATTCTTGGATGCAGATCGACGGCGAAAGGATCCCTGATTCCTAAATGGCATCCCTTTTTAGAATCCTCTGCGAAATAGCCAAGATATTCGCCAAAAACTGAGAAAAAACCGAATTCGCACTTTTCCAAGGGGAACCCCTAGGATTTTTGGCAAAAATCGCGCCAAAAATTTTTTTTGGAGGATTTTAGGAATCCTTGGATGCAGATCGACGGCGAAAGGATCCCTGATTCCTAAATGGCATCCCTTTTTAGGATCCTCTGCGAAATAGCCAAGATATTCGCCAAAAACTGAGGAAAAACCGAATTCGCACTTTTCCAAGGGGAACCCCTTGGATTTTTGGCAAAAATCGGGCCAAAATTTTTTTTGGAGGATTTTACGAATTCTTGGATGCAGATCGACGGCGAAAGGATCCCTGATTCCTAAATGGAAATAGCCAAGATATTCGCCAAAAACTGAGGAAAAACCGAATTCGCACTTTTCCAAGGGGAACCCCTTGGATTTTTGGCAAAAATCGGGCCAAAATTTTTTTTGGAGGATTTTAGGAATTCTTGGATGCAGATCGACGGCGAAAGGATCCCTGATTCCTAAATGGCATCCCTTTTTAGGATCCTCTGCGAAATAGCCAAGATATTCGCCAAAAACTGAGGAAAAACCGAATTCGCATTTTTCCAAGGGGAACCCCTAGGATTTTTGGCAAAAATCGCGCCAAAATTTTTTTTGGAGGATTTTAGGAATCCTTGGATGCAGATCGACGGCGAAAGGATCCCTGATTCCTAAATGGCATCCCTTTTAGGATCCTCTGCGAAATAGCCAAGATATTCGCCAAAAACTGAGGAAAAACCGAATTCGCATTTTTCCAAGGGGAACCCCTTGGATTTTTGGCAAAAATCGGGGAAAAATTTTTTTTTGAGGATTTTAGGAATTCTTGGATGCAGATCGACGGCGAAAGGATCCCTGATTCCTAAATGGCATCCCTTTTTAGGATCCTCTGCGAAATAGCCAAGATATTCGCCAAAAACTGAGGAAAAACCGAATTCGCATTTTTCCAAGGGGAACCCCTTGTATTTTTGGCAAAAATCGGGCCAAAATTTTTTTTGGAGGATTTTACGAATTCTTGGATGCAGATCGACGGCGAAAGGATCCCTGATTCCTAAATGGCATCCCTTTTTAGGATCCTCTGCGAAATAGCCAAGATATTCGCCAAAAACTGAGGAAAAACCGAATTCGCATTTTTCCAAGGGGAACCCCTAGGATTTTTGGCAAAAATCGGGCCAAAATTTTTTTTGGAGGATTTTAGGAATCCTTGGATGCAGATCGACGGCGAAAGGATCCCTGATTCCTAAATGGCATCCCTTTTTAGGATCCTCTGCGAAATAGCCAAGATATTCGCCAAAAACTGAGGAAAAACCGAATTCGCATTTTTCCAAGGGGAACCCCTTGGATTTTTGGCAAAAATCGGGCCAAAATTTTTTTTGGAGGATTTTAGGAATTCTTGGATGCAGATCGACCGCGAAAGCATCCCTGATTCCTAAATGGCATCCCTTTTAAGGATCCTCTGCGAAATAGACAAGATATTCGCCAAAAACTGAGGAAAAACCGAATTCGCATTTTTCCAAGGGGAACCCCTTGGATTTTTGGCAAAAATCGGGCCAAAATTTTTTTTGGAGGATTTTAGGAATTCTTGGATGCAGATCGACCGCGAAAGGATCCCTGATTCCTAAATGGCATCCCTTTTTAGGATCCTCTGCGAAATAGCCAAGATATTCGCCAAAAACTGAGGAAAAACCGAATTCGCATTTTTCCAAGGGGAACCCCTTGGATTTTTGGCAAAAATCGGGCCAAAATTTTTTTTGGAGCATTTTAGGAATCCTTGGATGCAGATCGACGGCGAAAGGATCCCTGATTCCTAAATGGCATCCCTTTTTACGATCCGGTGCGAAATAGCCAAGATATTCGCCAAAAACTGAGGAAAAACCGAATTCGCACTTTTCCAAGGGGAACCCCCAGGATTTTTGGAAAAAATCGGGCCAAAATTTTTTTTGGAGGATTTTAGGAATCCTTGGATGCAGATCGACGGCGAAAGGATCCCTGATTCCTAAATGGCATCCCTTTTTAGGATCCTCTGCGAAATAGCCAAGATATTCGCCAAAAACTGAGGAAAAACCGAATTCGCATTTTTCCAAGGGGAACCCCTTGGATTTTTGGCAAAAATCGGGCCAAAATTTTTTTTGGAGCATTTTAGGAATCCTTGGATGCAGATCGACGGCGAAAGGATCCCTGATTCCTAAATGGCATCCCTTTTTAGGATCCTCTGCGAAATAGCCAAGATATTCGCCAAAAACTGAGGAAAAACCGAATTCGCATTTTTCCAAGGGGAACCCCTTGGATTTTTGGCAAAAATCGGGCCAAAATTTTTTTTGGAGGATTTTAGGAATTCTTGGATGCAGATCGACCGCGAAAGCATCCCTGATTCCTAAATGGCATCCCTTTTTAGGATCCTCTGCGAAATAGCCAAGATATTCGCCAAAAACTGAGGAAAAACCGAATTCGCACTTTTCCAAGGGGAACCCCTAGGATTTTTGGAAAAAATCGGGGCAACATTTTTTTGGAGGATTTTAGGAATTCTTGGATGCAGATCGACGGCGAAAGGATCCCTGATTCCTAAATGGCATCCCTTTTTAGGATCCTCTGCAAAATAGCCAAGATATTCGCCAAAAACTGAGGAAAAACCGAATTCGCACTTTTCCAAGGGGAACCCCTAGGATTTTTGGAAAAAATCGGGTCAAAATTTTTTTTGGAGGATTTTAGGAATTCTTGGATGCAGATCGACGGCGAAAGGATCCCTGATTCCTAAATGGCATCCCTTTTTAGGATCCTCTGCGAAATAGCCAAGATATTCGCCAAAAACTGAGGAAAAACCGAATTCGCACTTTTCCAAGGGGAACCCTAGGATTTTTGGCAAAAATCGGGGCAACATTTTTTTTTGAGGATTTTAGGAATTCTTGGATGCAGATCGACGGCGAAAGGATAACTGATTCCTAAATGGCATCCCTTTTTAGGATCCTCTGCGAAATAGCCAAGATATTCGCCAAAAACTTGGGAAAAACAGAATTCGCACTTTTCCAAGGGGAACCCCTAGGATTTTTGGCAAAAATCGGGCCAAAATTTTTTTTGCAGGGTTTTGGGAATCCTTGGATACAGATCGACGGCAAAAGGATCCCTGATTCCTAAATTCCTTGTTACGATCCGGTGCGAAAAAGCCAAGATATTCGCCAAAAATTCGATATTAAGGAAAACCCTTAGGAAAAAATATTTATTTATACTTATTTTTTAAAAATCACAAATATATCGCAAGACTGGTGCCCTTCTTGTAGAATTTGTGGATGGAATCGATGAGACTCTTTGGAAGTAGCGAGACTTCCATCTGGGAGATATTCTTAATTATTTAAGACAATTTTTAATTAAGTGTTAGTTGAATTTATGAAAAGGGGAGATGGAAAACCTGCTGATGTGGCCGAACTTACAGCAATAAATAGACTTGTAATATTTAGAAAACAGAACAAATGTGTGAAGCTTTCCCAACTAGTTTTGTGTAGAATGTTGCAGTGTAACTCGTTCTACGCATGCGCAGCTTGCTGTCTTAACTTGGCTCTCAGCTGTTTTTTGTGTTTACCGGTTGACCCAAATACTCAGGTGTTTCTCTGGCTCTCGGCTCTCAGCGTTTCTGGGTTCATGGTGAAGGCCAAAAGAAAGACGGAGAAATGGTAGACGGGGCTCTGGGCTCTGGGGGCTCTTCGAGAAGCTAATTGATTAGTCCCAAAGCGATCGTGGAGTGGAGTGCACCTGTTGGATAAGTGAGTAATTTTTCCATCATTCTAGTAGGTGGAGGCGATCCAGCACTCCATCATCAGTCGAAGAGTGGCACCTCCTCCGGCTGGTGATTCATCAGAAAATCAGTTCTCGTTTGTGATTCCCATTCTGGTGGAGCGAAGAAAGTTGTCTTCGAACATGTTAATTGTGACTCGCGTCAAGTGTGTGGGCAGTCGATTTCTTTTAACGGTCTAACATTGGCTTTGGCTAAGAGTGTGGCTTTGATTTTGGCCAAGAAAACGAAAGCCTATTATACTGTTTGTTGTTTGAAATTGTTTATATTTATTTTTTTTAGTTAATGAATAATAAATAAAAAATATGTGGCCCGAAAAGAAGGCAACTCTTCTCCTAATCAGCTTCATAGTGCTGCCAGGAAGTGATTCCTTTCGACGCAATTTCGAGGCACGTCAGAGCACCAACTCTAATATTCCCCTTTGGAAACAAAGGGTAAGGACTGCTACATATCCTTGGAAAAGATAATTCTAAGAGTATTAATTATAGGCCTGTGAAAAATCCCAAAAACAAAAGCAAAACGTTCATTATATCTGCGATGAGAAGGGCGACTTCAAGTGCCTTCCCGGCTGGCAGGGAGATCTCTGCCAGGTGCCGATGTGCCGGCGAGGATGTGATCCCATGAACGGCTACTGCCAGCGACCAGGAGAGTGCCGGTGCCGCATCGGCTATAGCGGGGAGATGTGCGATCAGTGCATCCCCCTGCCGGGCTGTCAGCACGGCGGGTGCACCAAGCCCTTCGAATGCATCTGCAAGCCAGGATGGGCGGGTCTCTTCTGCACAGAACGTAGGTCTAACATAGCTCTTCTCTGGGGGATTACTGAGACATTTTGTATCTCTAGCCACCTGTCGGAGTGGCTGCCACAGCACGCGAGGCTACTGCGAGGCACCGGGAGAGTGTCGCTGCCGCATCGGTTATGGAGGACGCACCTGCACCGAATGTGCCACCATGCCGGGCTGCCAGCACGGAACCTGCAACAAGCCGCTGGAGTGTCTCTGCCTACCTGGCTATACGGGCCTGCTGTGCCAGACACGTAAGTCTTAAGATATAGATAATATTCCGGAATGCACCAAGTTTTCTTTTCCAGCCCTTTGCGATCCGGATTGCAGCAAACAGCACGGCTACTGCCGTAAACCTGGAGAGTGCCGGTAAGTGGAAGGACTCTCTCTATATTCCAATAATAACTAATTGTCGATGTCCATCCCTTCCGGCCCGCCGGAGTAGCTGCAAAGTGGGCTGGACGGGTAGCCAGTGCGACAAATGCTTCCCATATCCGGGATGTGCCAATGGAGATTGTGAGGCGCCGTGGGAGTGCAACTGCCACCCGGGATGGGGTGGAATGCTTTGCGACGAGAGTGAGTAACTAAACGACACAGCACCCATGACCCGTGACCCCTAACCCCCTCCTCATACCCCATATAGAGCTCAACTACTGCCTGGATCATCCGGAGACGTGTGAAAATGAGGGAAAATGCATATCCCTTAGCCGGGAGGATGGTAGCTATCGTTGCCAGTGCCGGCAGGGGTATCTGGGCAAGAACTGTGAGATTCGGGATGACTTTTTGTTGACCTCGGTGGCGCCGCCGCGTATCACACCGCCCACTCCGCCCACACCCACTGCCACAGCAGACTCTGATTTGAATTTGGAGGGAACAGGTGTTGTGGAAAAGTTGCCGGCGGGAGCTAACGAGCCGGAGCCGGTGCCGAAGCCGGAGACGGAGACGGAGCCGGAGAGCCGGACAAATGATACCACAACTGTGACGCAGGCCACAGGCAACGTGACGACCATGGTGGTGGCCTCGTTGGCGCTGGCAACTGGAGCTGGCAGCCACAATGCGACTAATGAAGCGTTAAGCGCCATCACAACTGCTGCTCCGCCTCCCCCATCGCCACCCCTGCAGCCAGGGCGCTCCACCATAAAAGGGAACGCAACAAGTGTGGCTGGACCAGCATTACCCCCATCATCAGGACTTCAGGAGTTGCCAACAAAGGCAACACTAGTGGCAACATCTGCATCCTCCGTGGCACTCAACAACAAGGATAAACAGCCAGCGGCGTCGGCGGCGGCGGTGGTGGAGGAGGAGGAGGAGGATGACGACGAGGATGAGGACGACGAGGAGGAGGACGAGGAGTACGAGGAGGAGGACGAGGACGAGGACGACGAGGAGGACGACAGCGATCAACTTATACCAAATATAATATAGTTAAGAAACTATTCATTGCGTGTGTTTTTTTTTTTTGCGATAGATATACATAATATAAATTGTATTTATTTATGATAATGATTCTTTTTTTTTTAGGGATTAAGCTAAGCAATTTTCGTTTTAACAAATGTCTCAAAAAAAATGGTAAAATAATAATAATAAATGTCAAGTTTTGCTAATCTTAAATGCTAAACAGAGTTGGAGGAGGCGGATATCGGAAAGACTATAGCAAGTGGGATTTTGGACTCGGAGAGCGACTTGGATTTCTGGACTTGGATTGCACATAGTTTCCTTAAAAATATTGGGTTTCTTTAAAAGGATACAAAAAAAAAAGATAAAGAATGGGGATCTTATATGGCGTGGAAAGGATAAAGGTTCTACCGATCTGGTCACAAAAAAGGGGGAGTCTTACAAAATGACAAAAAAATGTTTGGGTAACTCGATCGAATATCAATAAAATAATAATAATCAGCATAATAATAATCATAATAATTAATAATAATAATCGTAATAATAATAATCATAATCATAATAATAATAATAATATATGGGGCGTTCGTTCGTTGCTCTGGAGGGAGGATTAGTTGAGTTCCCGCTTGTCCCGCTGACTGATCTGGGCCATGGTGATGTACTGTCGCACCAGGCGGGAGATCTCGTGAGCCTGCTCCGTCTGGACGCGGATCACGCGCTGCTGCATCAGATTTCCGACCTTCATGTCCAGGAAGAGAGCGCCATCCTCCGAACGAACCTACAAGGATAATCGGATTAAAAAATCGAATTTAAAATCGAGGAGTGAAGGAATCCCCACCTTTCGTGTCGATATAACCTCCATGAAGCTCCAGTGCTGCAGGGTCTCATGGGTATTGGGATCCAGGAAGAGCACACCCCTTCGATTCAGCGCCAGGATGAGGTCACGCCACATGGGACTGTGATTGTCCTCCACGTGGGGACCCTCCTCCGCCCAGATACGTTTCACGGCAAAGAAACTGCTGCCGAAGAGCGGCCAAGCTGCCAGGACATTCAGGAACTGGGCCTTCACCTGGCCGGGACTCAGACCAGCCACCTGCGGCCAAGCGGACTGCACCAGGCCCACCCACTGGGCGGGACGGATCTCGCGAATGCCCAGCGCCGGCTTGGGCAGCAAGAACTTGATCTCCTTCATGGCCGGAACGTGGCTCAGGTCGGCGGCGCGATGTAGGAGGGCGGCTATCCGGGCCATGTCGCGCACCATCTCCGGCACGGGCACTCCGTTGCCCGGCAGCTCCAGCAGCAGACCCTCCAGGTAGTCGGGAGCCACCTGATTGAAGAGCACCTCCACGTAGAGTGGCATCGGAGCGGGCTCCCGCTTCAGAGCAAAGTGCCACACGGATCGGCAGAAGATCAGGTAGAAGGGCTGGCCGGACTTCAGCAGCTCCGTGGTCACATCCAGAATATACTCATCCGCAGCCAGGGGCATGGTAAAGGCATCGCCCTGGACGATGCAGTACAGCGAGAACTCCTGCTGTTCGGCCTCGGACTCCACGCCGAGGAGGGCGCACAACTCCGCGATGACATCGGCCACCACGGTGGAGCAGCGGGTGTTCACCACTCGCTCTGCTCCTCCCGGCAGTCGGTAGATCTGGCGACGAGCCGATCTTCCAGCCGACACGGCCGTGACCTCCTCCACGCTGGGCACATTCTTTCGGCCGCCACAGCGTGCCGTCTTCCGGAGATTCGTGAGGCAAACGGCGGCGGTTCCATGGCAGGAACGCCTCCTGTCCGAGGCAGCCGAGGTCAGATGCTCCATTAAGTACGGACGCAGTGCATCCGAGCAGCCAAAGTAAGCGGCCAGTATGCTGAGGAGTCGCCAGGCGCGCTGCGAGCTATCCGGGCAGGGTGATCTATTGGCCGTGGTCTGTTTCATCAGCTGGCAGTAGACCTCGTCGCGGAGGGCCAGATATTTGTGACAGTGCTGGAAGGATAAAGGTAGAGTTTAGAGGTGACTTTCTCTCTCTTGAAGATTCCCACACCCATGACCCGCTTAACTACTCCCATTTTCCGGAGTTCACAGTTCGCAGAACCACTTTTAGGGCACTAGAACCGGAATTTCTCGAATCTCGACACTTACCATGAGCACAGTGTAGACGCACTTGACCTCGGTGAGGTCGGGATCCAGGGGTATGTCGCCGCAATAGCGCAGAATGCAGTCGAAGCACTCCAGAGCCAGGGGCGCCAGATCATTGGGCAGCCGAAGAAGGGGCAACCTGATAGCATGTCCTTGCCACTTGACGAGCTCCGCGTACGAACGATTCGCGGCAGACTGATGCCTCTCATGGTGACGATCCGCATCTCTCAATTGGCTAGAAAGGATAGCGAGAAGAATAAAAGGATTAAGGACTTCCAGGTGGTTAAGATTTCATCGACAACTCACTCATTACGGAAATGTTGCATCGCAAACTGGAGCAGCGAGTACTTGGTGACGGAGGGCGGAGTACCGCCATTGCTCTCATCCTGCAGATAGTTGGCGTCCAGATCGTGATGCGGCAGGGACTGATGCAGTTGCTCCTGCTGCTGCTGTTGCTGGTGATGACTCTGTCCGTTGGTGAGGGAGGATGGCTGCTGGCCGGCATTCGATTTCCGTGCCGAGTGCAGATAGCTCTGCTGCTTGAGGAATCGCTGTTGCTGGTGTTGCTGTTGCTGATGCTCCGAGGCGATTTGCTGCTCCTCCAGGGCCTCCTGCTCCAGCTGCTGCTGGTGCTGCAGGTGGTGGTGCAGCTCGGACTGTTGGTGGTGCAGCGATTGCATCTGATTGGAGGATTGTTGCTGCTGCTGTTGCTGGGAGTCGTTCTGGCGAGAGGAGGAGCCCTCCACGCCGTGCTCGTTGCGCTGGTTGTGCGCCTGGCGGGACTCCAGGCGTTCCAGCGGCACATTCAGGGTCTGGGCTGCGGCCCGTGCGCCCGACGACAGAGTTGAGGCCTTTGATTGGGACTGGAAGGGTTTAAAAAATACAAATAAAAAGTTAGCCAGAGGTTGTGGGAGTTTTTAAACTAATAAATATGCAATTTGAATACTAAATTAAAATTACACTGTACATATTATTATTTACCTGAAATATTCATCAACATATTCTTAAAATAGTCCAAGTTTAGAAGGCGCAGAAATGGAAAAAGCCCTCTAAGAGCACCACAAACTTGATCTAACGGTAAGTTAAAAGCTTTGAATAATCCCAGAGATGAGTTCTGGAAGCAATGAATATCGCCCTTTTCTTAAACAAGGTGGCATCCCAGAAATATCGATACAAAGATCGATAAGGATCGCTGTCTCCCGCCCAAAGATGGCGGCCCAAAAGATTTAAATCAATTTTTTGCCATTTATAAAGATTTAAGTCCCTATTTTAAAGATTTCAGCCGTTAATTGAAGACTTGAAAAATAAATACATATTTTACAACAAAAATACTAAAACTAAGCTTTGATATTTCTTTAAAATAAGCCAGATTTTAGGAAAATAAAATCTGTAAGTCTATTTCTTTTCATTTGTTGAGTTTTAAATTTCTTTTAAAGTTATTTGCTATTTTAATTAATCTTGACATTAATCTTTTGTAAACTTTAAGCTGTTTACTAAATTAGTTTCTTTGTTTTTCAAATTTGTCTTGGCATATTGAATTGGAAATTTGAAAGCATTCCGCGTTAAGGTGCAATTTGTTAATTGACTTTGCGGGGCGCTAGATAGCAGCTTGCAACTTGCAACGTACAATGTGCAACTTGCAATGAGCAGTGTGCAGTGTGCAATCTGCAACTTGCAACTCACATTTTACGCTGGCCATGTCAATGGCATGTGAAAGTTGCTGGGCGCCTTTTTGGCCAGTATTTGAGGCAACTGGTTGCTGCCTCTTACCGGTTGCATCGGGCGTAGGGGGCGTGGCATGGCTATTGATGATTTATACTCTCATATTGACGGGTGACAGCAAACTGTTGGTAGAAACTGGCGTTTTCGGCAACGAAAGTGTTTTGTTTTTTTCGATTTTTATTTTATTTTTTACTTTTTATTGCTTGCATTCAATTATTTATTTTGTTTTGTGCAATTTGTTGCAATTGCTTTCTTTTCTTGCAACGCCCACACTCATTCATTCCCTCACGCAGATATATCGTACATCGTACTCTACATATATATATTCCATATATTTTATAGACTTACTCTTATAGACTTCCTCTCCTAAGTGCACTTTTTGTTTTTTTTTTTTGTTGCAGTCATGCACGTAAAAAATGAGTAAAAGTTGTTGTTTATGAAAGCGGAAATCTTTCACCAATCAATCAACTTGCCAAATGCGAAAAAATTATGCGCATTGTTTAAATTTCGGAGCCTAAACATGAAAAAACTGGATACACCAAGAAGTAAACAATTTGCAATTTTTTTATTTGCTATTTTTAAACACGAAGGCGCCGAAAGCTAAACAAAGCACCGTAAAAAATAGAAAAAGTGTTTCGATTAAATTCAAATTAGGCGCCACATCGATGAAGCACAGCTCAATCATTAATCAATCCTCTGTTTTTCTTTTCTTGAATTTTCTTGGACTTGGATTTAATGGCTTTATTGTCTTTTGATTGACTTTTGATATGCCTCTTTATTAAATATTTCAGGCAGTTTTTTGTTGTATATTTTTTTTGGTTGGGTTGAGAAAACTTTAGACACGAAAATGCAATGGAAACCAAAAAAATAAGATTGCTTAAATGATCTAATTTCCATATGGATATTACCATAAATATTTCCTCAAATGGTTAACTGAATGTGCAATTTTTTTGAGGTTTTTTTGGTTTAGTTTGGGTTGCAACTAAAAAATTGCTTAATCTTTTTGGGGTTTTTTAACAGAAAATGTAAAGGGGGAATATTTGAATAGGAGGTTTTGTTAAGCAATACAATGCAGAATATTTAATAGAAAATATTAAAAATTACGTGATCACCCAGCTCCTAAAAAAGTCCTAGAAAAACGCATTTTTTCCAAACTATGTCTGGCTTTAGAAAAAAGTCTCAGAAAAACCTCAACATGCTGACCAGGTTAAACATATAAAATCCAGTGTCCACTTTTGGGGCCGCCAGCTTGTCGTGAACCAAATCTTGGCTTAATGGCGCACCAGAACCGGGCCAACAACTGGGTCACAAAGGCCTGAATCGGACGGAGGCAGTTGCTCCAGTTACTGGCCGACAAACAGCTTGCAATGAGAATCGAATCCACATACGAGTATGTTATGTGTATTTGTACATTAAAAGCAAAAAAAAATCAAGAGTTGGGTACCATAAATCCAAGTCCAAGTGACCGCTAGGAAACCAAAAAAAAAAAAAAATAAACTTTCTTTTTCGGCTGGCTTTTGTTTTTTTTTCTTATTTAGTGTGTGTGCGAGTGTGTGCACCTCCTGCTATTGTTAAAATTAATTAAAATTTGAAATGAATGCGCAGCTGACCGTTTGTTTGGTTAGATTTACGGCGAACCGAGTGCACTTGCTTGAACGAAATCCAAAAAATTTACCACCACCACGACTCACACATAAATGAAGAAAAAAAAAAGTGCTCACAAAAAAGTGTAATTAAATTATTGAAATCAAATTACAGTTAAATTACAATTCTTTGTGGGGCTCACGTATCATAACCCCATAATGTACTTATCGCTCGGTCTGCATCTTTGTGGGTCAAGAAATCAAGAAATTCAAAGAATCAGAAAATCAAGAAACCATCCCAGAAGACTAAGCGTGTTCTTATTGTCTTTTCATTTCTTTAATGGATCTTTTATGGATCACATCTTGGTCTAAAGACTAAAGACTAACAACTGTAAGATTAAAGGCTATAGATTGAAGACCGAAGACTGCAGACTGAGAGAGTTGGTCATCGAACTTGAAACGTGGTGGCATCTTCGTTGATCCAGCACGATAACTACTCGTTCATCTTATGTTTCTTATTTTCATGTTTAGTCTTTTTTTTTTTTGAGTTTTCTTTAGATTTCCGTTTTATGTGGCTGAGAGTTCACCTGGGAATCTGATGCACTTGTTACGGATCAGTCCAGGCAATCTTAGCCTGGTCAACTTTATTCCACCTTTCGGTAATTGAAACAAAATCGATGCCAGAGAGAAATTTCTAGATTTCTTTTTAATTGAAAATACTAATAGATTTAATATTAAAGAGTTTATATCCCTGGAAAATTTACAAAAAATAAGCTAAAACAATTTCCCAACATTTCCCAGCTATTAAAACTTCACCTGAAACATAAATTACACACTTTTTAGGGCTAAAATCTCTGGGGTCGTCCAAGTGCTGGCCATTAAAGATGTTGGTATCACTTGTTGTTGTATAATCGACACCCGACACCTTAAGATCATCACTTTACCAGCTAATTAGCCAAAAAGAAAGATAAAAAACACCAAAAACAACAAACCGATGATGTAAGAGAGTTGGTAGTGCAAGTGGGCCGATTGGTGGGTTTGCTGGTTTCGGCCTGGTCTGGGCCATTTTCCTTTGTGCATTCATCTCTCTCTCCATCTCCATCTCCATCTCTGCCTCTTTCTGGCTGGCCACGCTAATAATGCGATTATGTGTCGACTTAATAACACCGTTAGCATTCATCTGTCAGCCCAGCTGCCCAGCTCTACAGCTGCCTACCCCCTTTATAAACCTATTTGTTTTCCTTTTCCATCTTTTTGGCCATGATTCATTTTGATCGAGGTGGGCTCAGTCTCTACCCAAAAAAAAAGTGAAATAAAAACTACATTTGTATTTGATTAACCTGTCGTTTGTTTTTACTTCCGAACCTTGAGGGGGAAATTGAGTTGAAAAAGCAGCGATTGAATGGAACCGCAAAAAGCTTAAACGGTCAACAGCCATCAATATGTGGAAGTTTTGATGGAAATTTCAGTTTACTTAACGGAAAAAAACCCAACCACTGAATATATGCATAAACCCTCCACATAGTTTTTGCATCATGACGTGAGGTTTCAATTTTTATCAATTAAAATGGGGATTGCAGTTAACAGAGTTCATAAATTAAAGCCTCAAACTAAAGTATATTTTATAAAAAAGGTAGCTAATTAGTAATAAACTCAATTGTAGTTTTTTAAAATTAATAATTACAAAAGTTACAAAATGAAACTTTAAAAATCTTCTTCTTTCAACTGCAACCGTTAGAGATCGCTGCATAAGCCGCCACAAAGAAATCGATATCGATAGGTTTATCGATTAGCTGAGCTTAAGAATTAGGGACTTCTTCGCGGCAGAAGTTTTTTTGAAATAGGGACTGGTAACATCGTTGAATAAATACCGATACCGATTTAGAAAATTAACTATTCCAAAAAAAAACAAACAAAACCTCTCATTACCTCATTAGAGTTCATGGTCTCGAATCGGGCCAGAATCTCCTTGACGGAGATCTTGGACTCCGTGGGCTCCTCGAGAATGGTCTCCATGCGGCTGACGGATCCGCTGCTGGCGTTGCTGACCCTCCGGGTCTTGGTGCCGCCGCCGAGAAGCAGAGCTGGCGGATTGCCCGGAGGTATCGGGCATCCAATGACATTGGATGGAGCTAAAGCCAGAGCTGCCAGAGATTGTGGCATTGCCTGGGCCAGGCAGTGCTCCAGGTTAGTCTGTTCCAACTTGACCTGCTCCTCCATTTTCAGATCTACTTCCAGATGCACCTGCTCTTCCTCCCCTTCATCGTGGTTGTGATTATTGTTACTATCCACATGCTGTCCTGACATTTGGAGCTTGTAGGTGAGCTGCTGCTCCTCCAGGCAGCACTGCTCGCAGAGAGATCCGCCCGAGGAGTTTGACTTCATGGTGGCCGAGGTGGTGGCTGTGCAGCACTTGTACACGATGTCCTCCTCCACGCTCCAGGCATTGTCGTTGGCCAGCCCCAGATCCCCGCCAGACGTCTCCGCCGGCATCAAACAGCACTGTTCGTTCAGTTCGCGGATACTCTCATTCGTCAGCTGGTCGAGATCACTTCTCC